CCTCATTCTATCTGAGACCATTGGCAATGCTTCTGACATGCAGATGGAGCTTTCCAAACCACCAGGATTGGCTAGGCTGGGAACGTACTGTGGTCATAGCCACAGCTAAAACCTGGCTATGCGATAGTATCACTATGAAAAATCTAATATGTTACTGGATCCAGAACCAAAGACAAAGACTGCTGATTCTTGAGCCAAAGATGGGTTTGCCTCTTATGCAGAACACTCCTATACACAGAGATTTGTCCTGCAAACAACTAAGACACTTCTTAGATCCCAGATGAATAAGCACATGAAGATAAACTTCACACTTCAGCTAACAGCTTTTTTTCTTTACAATTTCTGTACAACATAACAAGGAGGCAGCTTGCAGAAATGTTGGACCTGCTTCTCTTTACCTCATTTAACAGGCTTCAGTACATAAATTACTTTGTGGATTTTTTTTTTTTTATTGCACTGTAGTCAGTTGTAAATCTTGCACTGAGTTATTCAATAACACTTTTTTTTTTTTTTAATTGTTTGAGTGAAGAGTGGAGCCTAAGGCTTGATTTTGACTACAGATAATGCACACAGGTATTTATCCCTACATATTTTGTTGTATCCTTATTGAACATGCATGTAATTATCACACGTGCAGTTCATGCAAATGGGTACATTTCTTGTCACGTTACCTCTTGACAGTAGCTCATTTAGTCAAAAATGGACGCGCATACCACAAGTAAAAATCACACGTCTTTTAAAGAACAGATGCTTGTTTCTATGTCTCTGAATTATCCTTTTTGATGTATGGAGGAAAGCCTTGTTCCTTTACTGTCCCACAATTTATCATTTTGTTTAACCTTCCTTCCTAGCACACTAGCGTTCCAGCGTAAATTATTTAAAAAAAAATATTAGAAAAATAGAAAAGCATATCCAAGTTGGCAAGGAGATCCAGCCGTGACAACTGGTGGGGAGGTACTTGCAAGCATAGTTTGAGCTAGCTATTTTGATTAATTTTTCTGGAATGAGACTGTCTTCTCAATATGACAGTTCTCAACACTTAATAGTTGTTTAATGTTCCCAATAGGCTCAGCCCTGCACTTTGTAAATCAGCAAAAAATAAAATGAAGGTCTTTATTCTACCACTTCAAAAATTATTATCCTTTTTGTTCTGGCTTGTGTTTGTATGCTGATAATATATTTTCTGTAAAGGGACAAGGAACAGACTGACCTGGAAAAGGAAGTCTTTTTTATGTAGAACTGTCTTTGATCACTCACAGGACTTGTGCTCTGATCTAAGCTCATTGACATCAATGGAAGAAAGACTGCTATCAGCTTTGGGGGGGGCTGGCTCCTGTCCACACAGAGTCCGTATACACAAAAGCTTTGGGGGGGGGCTGGCTCCTGTCCACACAGAGTCCGTATACACAAAAGCAGATGCTAAAAGAGAAAATATATTGAAAGATGGAGTTAAGGAAAAGATACTTCTCTTTCGTTTCCACAAGGTTAGGTTTATAACACAATCAGATGACTTTTTGTCTTTTCACTTAATATTTTTTCTTAGTCCCTGACACAGTAAACTGAATTTCTACATCTACTGTTGCTGTTGAGATAAAGATAAGCCTCGGATACAGAGAAGAGGAGACCTTGGTGAATATTTTCTATAACTTAAAAATGGAAGGCCTCCTTCATACATACCCCTGGGACTCCAAAGAATAGGACAAGAGAAAATAGGGCTCTGCACCCCTACCCTCAGCTGCACTTCCCCCAGAACAGCCATTCCAGAGAATGAACTCAGCACTTCAGTAATGGACATGGTCATCAAAGAAATAGGTAATTGCAGAGTGCATGTAAAAAAATAAATAAATAAATAGAAACTCCTAATGGGATTCTCTCTCTAGGTGACAGCTTCCAGACAAGGTAGATAAGCACAATGAAGTCCAGAGATGAAAAGTCATTCAGTAAACAGTCCTAAAAGGAATCTTCCCCAGCTCTTCTGATGGAAAGAAGGTAACCTGTAGTCTGGCATGCATTAGTATCTTCAGAAAGAATGTGATAGTTTTGCCATGCAACATTCAACTGTTTAGTTCTTTGGTACCTTTGTTTCAGAAACTGTTTTAGATTCATATTCAGAAAAAAATCCCTCTTTTAATTGAATGAGAAAATATAATGAAACAATACTTGTCACTAGCGTCACAGTTTATTCCAAAGAAGAGTCTCCCTGAGCTGGGAATGACATTTAGGTATGGACCAGCCCATGGCACCCCTTCAGCATTCTGGCCAATGTGTTTTCAAGTTAAACATCTCCTCTCATTTGGTTAATGCCTACTACGTAAGCACTACAGCTATGCAAGGCAAGCAGACAAAACTTTAGTGCTGAGTTGGTCTGCAGACTTTGATCTGACTTTTAAGACTTGATTCCTTTTCACATCTTCTGTGTTATATCCTGACCTTGCTCTAAAATTTTAGCTGACATAGACTTACATCAACAAAAACAGACACACGACTATGTACACCTGATGTCTCAATGAGGCATGTGAAGATTTGTTCATTCAGAGCTTGTTTCTTTAACATCAGACCGAATTGGTAATATTTTCATCGACATATCTGAGAGTAGAAGCAATGTTTATGTTAGTTTTGGGGAAAGATGCTGTAGAAACAAAGGTACAATTATTAAATTATACTGAAAGAGCCAAATTCACCCCTTGGATAGACACATGTCACTCCCAGTCCCCTCCACGTCTCTTAGGGTAGGATTAAATCCAAAAACTGAAATTTATATCTTCTTCCTTCCAAAACTGAATGGTTATATTTATGGCAAGCGTATCCCATTCTATCATGAATCACTTCTTCAGATCCCATTAAAATTCGGGAATTTCCAACTGGAGGCTTAGAGTGAATTAGGTTGTTGTTTTTTTTTTTACCCCTGCCTCCTTTCATTCCTTTCTCCAGCTGGGCTTGGAGGCTCTGGAGAGCCTCTCCAGAGTTGCCAGGGACTGCGGCTCTGGCTGATGCTGGGTTACTGAGCAAATTAAACAGAAAACGCTGGTCAGGAGAACAGAGGTTGGTACAAGAGCCTAGGTCTCATGTTTTGTCATAGTTATAAGGAGTATGAGGGGGGAGAGGAAGGGAGAAATTGTGTAAAAAGCCATCTACTAAGAAAAGAATGTTTGATTTGGATCACAGGATGTGAGACTGGAGAACGTATTGCATAACTTTATGGCTTGTCCTTATTCGCAGTGATTCAGTATCCGGCACTGCTCATCCCATTTCTAAAAATGGTATTAAGAGTTACAGGGTATTCAGAGGTGATGGGAATGACTGAGGAATGGGGGGAAACACCTTTGCATTTTAAGGCAGACAGCAAAGACTGGGTTTGCAGGTCATCCTAGAGGTTGTTGCAGATCACTGGTTCTGTGTCCTTCCCTACTGCTTAAGGGACGTTCACCAGGACCAAATCCCGGCATGTTGCCAGAGGCTCATTTGTCTCGTGCCAAGCTTAACATCAAGACAATCCTTTCTAAGAGGTATTCCTCTTATAACTGTGTATCAGGCCATGTAAAGACCCTCGCCTGGGGGAGGAGTGATGAAGTGGGTATAACACTCTTTGGGAAGAACTACCCCTCACCCCTGCCATTTCTGACACCTCCCCTGCCAAGATGAGCCCCCTATAGAGGAATCCCTACAGCCTCCCTGGAGCCCTGTTCAGAGGCATTTTCTTTCAGCCCCAAAGTGCTTATCTCTGGGACAGCCTCCTCTGTTAGGCTCCTCTCATTATTAGCAGACTCCTTTGATTCACAAGGCATCATCCAAATCCAGAGGTCCTCACACCAAAATAACTCTTCTCCCATTTCTGGCTCTCTCCTGTGCTGACGAGGGGGCAAGAGGGGGCAAACTCAACGAAGTAAGTGCCAGGCTTGTTGGGAATTCAGGGAGCTGCTCATCAAACTTTCATATATATCCAAACTCCCATAGCAGAAACAATAAAATGGGGGAGGGAGGGATGTTTGTACTAAAAAAAAAAAAAAAAAAAAAAAAAAGCAGACCGCAGTGGTGCTGGGCGGGGACAGAGAGTTCTCATTCATGGCTTTCTTCATGGCAGGGTGAAAGGGTTTACCTTTTCCCTCTGCCCCCCTCTCGGCACCGTTTTAATTTTGGGATGGATTAAGGCAAACCCGGGGTCGGGAGATCTCCTCCCAGCAGACTGCACCGGGAAGCGGCTGCTGTGGCTCCCGTAAGTACGCGGAGACCCACGTTGCCCGGAAAAAAATAAAAGCGATTTCTTCATTGACAAAAAAAAAAAAAAAAAAAAAAAAAAAAAAAAAGAGAGAGAGAGAAAAGAAAGGGAAACAAAACCCACGCCCGCCTGGGGCTCCGGCGCCGGCACATGCAATGCCTGGGTGGCGGGGCCGGACTCCTCCTTAAGGTGTATTTAATTATTTGGGGGAAACTATTATGAATTAAAATTAATTAGCTAATATCCCCCCCCTCAACCGCAAGGGCAACCCCGGGAGAAGGAAGACCGGCTGCATCCCTGACAAAAGCGGGGAGCGGCTCCCAGCTCCGCGCTGGTGCCGTACTGGTGCATACTGGTGCGAGCAGCCCCCCCGGCACAGCTCGGCACGGCTCGGCTCAGCACAGCCGTGCCGCGGAAGGACGTCTCACCTTGTTTACCCTGAGAGCGGCAGGCGGCCGGGGCGGGCCGGGGCGGGCCGGGGCGGAGCGGAGCGCGGTGGGCGGCGGGGCCGGGCCGGGCCGTGCCGGGCCGGGGCGGGCGGCGGTGCCGGGGCAGTACAGTCAGCCTGCGCGCTGGGCACCGTGCGGGCGTGCGGCGGCGGCCGGCAGCGAGGCACGGAGGCAGCCAGCGTCCCCGCCACGTAAGTAGCTATTAATACGCCGGGAGATGGAAGCGGGGGGGGAGACGATGCCCTGCTGAAAGGGGAGCGACGCGGCCATCCCTTCCCCTCTCCCCCTTGGGAGAAAAAAAATAAAAATAAATACAATCTGCTGATTTTTTTTTAAATTATTTTTTTAAGCGTCCTTTAGTGCACCTCCGTTCCCCGCAGTGAGAAGCCGGCCCCGTTCTCGCAGCGCTGCTTTATTTATTTTTTTTTCTTTTCTTTGTTGTTTCTGTTCTCCATTCAGCCCCCAGCCCCAAATCCCTCCGTGCGCTTGGGATTCGCCTCCCCTCTCCCGGGGTCGCACTTTTTCCCCTTTTCCCGGAGCAGCCGCGCCGCCGGCAGCAGCTGGGTCCCTTTGGCCGCCGGGCGCGCAGCAGCACCCGCGCATCTTGCGCGGCTCGGCCGGCAGGGGGGCGGCCCCGCGGAGCCTCCCTCCGCTCCGTGCGCTCTTTTGTCGGCCGGCCCGCTCCAAGTTCAGCGCTCGCTCCCTCGCTATTTTCGCGGGGCATTTTCCCAGCGGCGGCGTTCCCACGCCATCTACAGCCCGGCGGCGGCAGCGCTGCTCAGCCTCGCAGTAGGAGAAAAGAGAGAAAAAAAAAAAAAAAAGAAGGGAAAAAAAAAAAGCCTCCCCCCCCCCCCCACTTGCGCGCAGCGCTTTTACCTAACCCTTTATCCCCACTCCTAAGCGGGAGAGGCGGCCGAAAGGCGGCCGCCCCCCAGCCCCAAGCCCAGCTCCGCACCGCTCCGCGCCCGGCCGCCGGCGGGGAACAAAGGGCCGCGGGCTGAGCGCTCTCTCCCTGTGCCCAGGACGCGGCGCTGAGGCTGGGCGCCCGCCGCCGCTCCCGCCCCCCTCCCCGGCACACAAAGGCAGCCGCAGCTGGACGGGCGAGGGACCGCGCTCCACGCCAGGGCTCCGGTGCAGCGTCTCGGCTGGTTTTCTCCATACTCATGAACATACAAAGGTCAACCCCTATCACGATAGCACGATATGGGAGACCGCGGAATAAAACCCAGGATTTTGAGGAGCTCTCGTCCATACGGTCCATCGAGCCAAGCCAGAGTTTTAGCCCGAATCTAGGCTCGCCGAGCCCGCCGGAGACCCCGAACTTGTCGCATTGCGTTTCTTGCATCGGGAAATACTTATTGTTGGAGCCTCTCGAGGGAGACCACGTTTTCCGAGCCGTCCATCTGCACAGCGGCGAGGAGCTGGTTTGCAAGGTAATCCCTCTCCTCCTCCTCTGCCGGGCTTAGCCTGCTGCCGCGGGTTCGTTTCCTGGGGCTTTAAAGGAGGTCGGGGGGTTCGGTTATTGACCAGCTTTAAAAAAGAAAAGGCGGAGGAGAGGCAGGATTAAAGGCGCATCCTGTAACTTTTCCCTCTCTCCAGACAATGGCCACGTTATAGCGGTGGCCGGGAGCCAGTTCTGCCGCTTACCCCGGGGATATTGTTCTGGAAAGAGCCGTCCTTTAAGTAGGTCTTAAAGGGAGTTTCAGGGCAGGAGAAAACCTCATCTTCCCCACTCTCACTTTTCAAAATGGAGTAGGGAATCCCCAGCTAATTTTAAGGTGTTGGGACCTGCCGGCTTCCTCGATTTTTTTTGCCCCTCTCCCGTGTTCTGTGAGTTGGGGTATGGGGGAGGTTGTGGAGGGGGGTGGTGGTGGTTGCAATCAGCTTTGTCTTAAAAGTGATTTAAAAAATCCACATCGAATTAAGCAGCCTGAGCTCCTTCACCGTGGAGGTTGTTTGCAAACAGCATCCTCCCCCATTGCACAACTCAGCAAGAACAAAACCTGCACACCTACGGTTTTCAGAAGAGCAGACAAAATAGCTATCCCACTCTTTGTAGCCTGTCTGCTTTGCTGAGCCTCCTCCCAGTTTGTTCCTACTATTCAAAGGTGAGCAGTGGGAGAAAGAAAACCCCATGCGTGCACGCCTGTCGAGGGATGTTCTCCTTTCGGGCTGAGGGAATATTTTCCTTTGTTCCTAAATTGCGATTCTCATTGTCTGTAGCAAGCCAGACTTATGCCAGGCAAACCGAGGCAGTACCCAGTAGTAGTTCTTATAACTACGTAGCACATTGCAACCTTGCAACACCCGCTGCAGTGTTTGCATTGTTCCTGAAATATGGAATTGTGCCATGTAGCTATCTTGAGCAAGCGTCTCGTGTCGAACTAACTGCAAAATTGAAAAAAGGTACAATACATCTACTTTTCACATTCCAGGGATTAATGGTAGTATTGCTGATGGTTGCATACTTCTGTACTCGATTCATAAGAAGTTATGGACTAGCTTGTAGCAAGGAAGTGAAAATAATTGCTCCTGTTTGCTATTTGTGAAGACTGGAGTTCAGAGGGCAATTTAAATGTGCTCATTGATTGAGTTATAAAACCTGATGTTAAGGCAACCTAGGACTTTGTGTGATTATTCAGGGGAAAAAAAGGGCCCGTGACTTTGCAAAGGACTAATATTGCATGCTGAAGTGAATGCTTTGTTACTAAACTGAAACAGAACATGAGAATTTCTAGAATGAAAGCCCTGCTTGGTGCAGCAGTACAGTGCTGCACTCTAGGACATTGGCATCTTTTCATGAAATAAACAGATCCCACAAAGCTGCTGCTCTGCGTGAAATTATAGGTGAACTTGCATAGCAAGGAGTAAAGTGGGGGCTCTGCTCGTCTTTGTTTCCTGTTTGCTTTGCAGGATTAAGGTAGTGTTTTGATAACAGTATGAGCAGCATGACTGCAGCTCACAAAGGGTGGACTTGATTTTTTTTTCTCCTCCCTTCAAGCTGTATGTTTTTAAACCGATCCTGACATTTGAATAGTGTCAGTTTTTCCGTATGTGCAAGGCACTACTTCTAGCTGGGCTCCAAAATATGATCTTAGCTTGAATTGCCAGCTTGTGAATATGCAGTTGTCAGCCCTGAACTCAATTTAATGCATTCTTTAAAATGCCTGCAGTATCATGACTAGTATTTGTCAAGTAGCCTTCCGGCTAATAGACCTGCTATCTGGTATCTTATTGAAGATGCTCTTAGAGATTGCTTGCACAAACATTGGTTTGGATAGCAGACACATACTGATGATTCTCAAGATTCATTTGGCTGCACCCACTGCCTGTACAGATGCCGTTACTTGCTTCGAGGCTCTGTGGCATCCAGACAATGGTAACTTCTCACTTCCAATTTCCAGCAAGAACTAAATCAAACTGCAGCTTATTGGACATTCTCTGAATTGAGGCCAGGGATCTTACATGCTGGGATACAAAGAAGCGCTTTATAAAAGGTATTCTAGGCTGTAGCAGCGTGATAGCACTTCCCATCTCCTCACTTGCAAATACAGTGCTGATACATATCCAGACCTACTTACCTTACCCGAGAACCACAAAATATAACTAATTTATATCAGGATAACCTGGTTAGAAGAGAATTCTGGAAAGGCTTTTTTTTTCACTTGAGGGTTTGAGCTACATGAATGTTCCTGCTTAAATTTTATTTTATAGCAGCCGCATTGTAGTAGAGCCATTCACTTACAATGTATTAGTTTTGAGACCCAAATGTCAATGAATTCTCCTCTGGACTGATTTACACACCAAGGATTTTAGCAACACCCCCTCCCCACCCCAGTTCTGCTTCCCTGGCTCACCATGTCACCAGAATGGCTCAGTGTTAATCTACCCCCCCTGTAAAATGTGTTGGATCTGTTTGGCAGCCTGCCTTTAAGGTTGTTTTTGCCTGTGCTGGTGTACAGCAGCACAGGTATGGGGTGGTGGGAAGGAGCTGGGTGAGGAGGGGGTGTCCCCGTTTTGGGGTCCTTTTCAGGGGAAGGAGTTAATGATTGCACTCTGAAGTGTTACAAGGCTTAGGTTTTGAAGCCTCAGGTAAATTTGTATTGAACTGCATCTCTGATGCTCGGTACTCAATGCTTTATAAAGCTTCAAAGAAAGCAAGGAAGTTTGCTTCTTGGAGAGGACACAAATACCCACTACAGGGATACAAAAAGAAGGAAAACAATTGCATTTTAAACTGGTAGGTTTGATACCTTCACTGGTTCTTCATTTTTTTTGTTCAATTAGAATGAGACATGACCACCTTAAATTCTTTTTACCAAAGTAACAAAACACCAGAGAGTGAGTTATATATTGATAGAATTTTTATGCTAGTGGAAATGCTAATCCCTTGCTTTGTGTTACATCTGGAGCAGGTATAACTGAAAATAACAATCACTCCCATCAATACTTGGCTTATACTCTCTTTCAGCACACTGGCTTCTGTTCTTGTTAATGAAGTCTTTCTTCTTTGTGTAGTATGGGCATTTCTCAATTGACTCAAATACTGATTCATTCGTCATCACTAGATTATAGTAACTTTTTATATTTGGGTTTCCCAGCAGCCTTTTTAATTCCTACAGCTCATTCATAAGATCAGTGATAACATACTTACTATTAAAGGGACACTTTGCTTTTAATGGAGCACTTGACTGAAAGGCAGAGACTTTGGGGTGGTTTTTGTCTTTGCCTTTTGAAGGGTGTTTGTCTGTGCTCCAAGAGGCAGGGCTATTTCCCCTGTTGTCCTTCTGATCTTATAAACAGCCATTGTAAAACTGAGACTTTGAAAGTGAAAGTGACTTTGCTGTTCATGGGAGATGAAAGAAATGCAGGAAGTAAACGTGAATAGTGACAGATGATATTTTAAACCAGAAAATCCTGAAAGCTTTAATGGGTTAATAAAATCAAGAGAGAGGCGTGTGGATCAGGGTGGATTTAATTTGACAGCTTCTCTCAACACAAAGCTACCGGTCATGTTCTCTATGAGTTTATTTGGATGTAAAATAGAAGATAAACAAGCTTCCTTCCAAGAACCGCCTCTGCATGTCATTGGTCTTTACAGCTTAATTCAGATTACATTCTAAATTTGATCAGCTATTTGCTAATGAAACTGTTCTTGCTACAAGTTTTGAACGCTAGCCTTTTCCGTCAAGGCTACGTGTATCTGTTGTATGGGGTTGTACAGTCTGTTTTGTCTCGTCCTCTGTGCCGTGAGCCTGTGACATCCTGTTTACATCGGTACAGCTTCAGCAGCAGCATAAACTGTACTCAGAGGTGGTGCTGTTAACAGAATTAGATATGCCCTAACTTCACTGTCCTTCAAAGTGCTAACCCTGGCTTTACTGTCCTTGTTCCTGCAGGTGTTTGATATTGGCTGCTACCAGGAGTTATTAGCACCATGTTTTTGTCTGCCTGCACATAAAAATATCAACCAAATTACTGAAATAATTCTTGGGGAGACAAAAGCGTATGTGTTCTTTGAAAGGAGCTATGGGGACATGCATTCGTTTGTTCGTACCTGCAAGAAGCTTAAAGAAGAAGAGGCAGCCAAACTCTTCTATCAAATAGCTTCCGCTGTTGCACACTGCCATGATGGTGGACTGGTACTGCGAGATCTCAAGCTGCGAAAGTTTATTTTCAAGGATGAAGAAAGGTAAGAGCCTCTGTGACGTTACAGGTGGGGGGAGCCTGAGGTCAGTTTCAGACTCACAGGATGCTGTGTTATTTGTGGTCACCATACTGTTCGTTTGTGGTACACAAGGTGTTTCACTTTCTTTACTTACCTCTGCAACCTGATCATGGGATGGATGTGCCATTTTACCTTCTGGCTTAGGAGTAAAGTAAGTATAGAGAGTTGTTTGTATCTGTGTCTTGTCTTTGCATCTCCACCCAGAGGAGCATCCTCATTCCAGAGGAGGGGATGTCTCCTGTGGGAAGGCTCTGCGTAGATGTCTGGTGTAGGAGCTCTGCTAGCATAAATACAGCTGGTGTTTAAAGAGGCAAGGAGTAAAAGAACTGATATATTAAAGAGGGCTGGGGACTGAAATGGCTCATACCAATGAGGAGACATGAAGAAGAAGAACAGCGAAGTGGTTAATGCTGATGTAGGTTGGAGACAAGGGCCACCAGTGCTTTGAAGGACCACTTTGAGGACAGCTTTTTTCTTCCAGTGCTGGAAGAGTCTGGAGGCTGCTTCTAAGGGTATTATGGTCAGGAGTCATACTAAGACTAAAACAGCCTTGTTGTTGTGTGTGTACCTGCTTTTAGTATCAACTGTTGTGGTACTTGGGAAACTACCCTTTTTTTTTGGTGGTGGTTTTATTTGTATCTCCTCCTTGCATGCTCTCCCTGCTCAGTAATTGGCTGGTAAATGATTTGGGGAAGGAGGTGGAAGACAGGGAATGAAGTAGTGTGGTATACACTCTAGGTATACACTGTTGAAGTGCTATTTTGGATGCTGAACCATAGCTATAGCGTTGAACCTGTGGAAGCTTCACGTCTCTTTCCTTGTGGTTACCAGTTTTCATTAATTATGTTACATCATGTATTTGCTTGCAACTTCCACATAAACCACCAGAGAAATGAACGCTGCCAGAGTAATGTCAGGCTTTCACAGAGGAATTTAAATTGGGAGATGACTGTCAGAAGACAAAATTAAATGAGGACAGAGCCTCCCTTTATGCTTCTTCGTGTCTTGGTAGAGGATGGGGAGGTGTTTTTTCCTTTCTGGTTCCATCCTATGAAGTGTTTGAAAGCTTTCTCAAAC